GGGGACTGGACTCGATGACCTCTCGAGGTCCCTTCCAGTCCTAGAATCTATGAATAGTGATAAATCCACACGTAGCTCTTACATAGCCCTTCACAAGCACAGCTCACTTGGAAACTGTGACAGAGGTCAATGAGTTGGCTCACAGTCACAAACCAAGTTAGTTCAGAGACAGACACAGAACCTAGGTCTGCTTCCGAGTCTAATGTTCTAATGCACTATGCTACCTCCTCATCAGTATGTATGAAATAGATCGAGAGTATCCCTCCCCAGGGAAGTTGTATTTTCCCCCCCACACTGGCATAACAATTGGTAGGTGACTGTGGCCAGAACCAAAAACTGGTATTAAAACATTTTTTCCTTAGTGAGAGAGGAAAAGACTGACATATTGCTCTACAGCAAGATACTGGATAAACCCATCTGACACCACTGTAAATGCTTGCCTGGATAATAGACAAGCACTGGCTACACCTATGGTACTGAGACATTATAGCCTGTCACAGCATCAAAACATCTTCCCTCCACCACAACCATCAATACCTACTCAACTAACTTCTAGGGTGCATGTGAATCTATGACCATTATAACCATCAACAAAAAAGAACAGTTTAGTTTGATGATGACAGTTTTGGTAAGAACCTCCATGGAATGCAGAATTAAAGGAATAAGCATCATAAATGCAGAAGGCTTACAATATCACAATACAGAAGCCTCAGACTCTTGACAGGATGGAGAGAAGGTTTATTACTTCCTTTTTGAGTCCTCTGGACTTATGTTTAGAATGCAACACTCTAGTAACTGGGACACTTTACCTTGATTAACTTCAGCTCGAGAAGGACCCAAATTTTTTTTCTGCTGTGCATTTTTAGCAAGAAGCGTGTGTTTGTCATCACTCCCTGTGTCAAGTTCTGAAATTGTGACTGCAAGGATCCTACAGAAATTGGCAAGTTGCTGTTGATCAAAACTGGATACTAGACTTGCAAGATTGGGAATATCTTCTAATTGTATCATTTCCTATAGAAGACAAAACAATGCATTGATTGTTTGATGTAATAAACCAACAGTCTTTTCACCAAAATCAACGTTAACAGAGGGAACATATAAAAATTAAAGAGCCTTCCCCCAACAGGATTAAATTGTTTTAAATTTAGTCAGACACAAGGGTAGATGGGTAGCAGAAGTTCCTCAGAGTTTGAAAAGGGCTGTGAATCCCAACCTAAGGCTAAGATCCCACCTGTTCACCAATTTATGAGAGAACATTATTCTCAAGTCATTTTAACTTAAAAAAAAGAAAAGTTTGTGAAAAAATAAGTATTAAGCCAATTTTAGCTATTTTGAAGTTTCGATATTTTGTTTGTTTGTGTCCCCAAATTTACTGAAGTTAAATGCAACTATAGATGGACTGCGCTGTTGGATATTTTTAAATGATAGTTTCATTGGTGATAAGGAAGATTCTGAAAAGTAACCAGAAGGAAGGATCAGACAAGTGTCTAAGCATCCTTCAGAAAAGGTAAACATCAATATATATCTTAATAATTAGTCAGAATTTACATAAGTATTGAATTTCAGGAAAAAACTAACCCTATAACCCCAAAACCCCATCTAGAAGGCAGTAATTAGCTAGACAAGTCCAATTACTGTATTTCACCGCTGCAGAGATCTTAGCAGAGGAAAGGGAATAATTACGTATGCAGCAGTGACACCCGCTAAGAAGGGATACTGGTCATATTATTCAGGGCTACCATTTAGAATTTATTAAAGGAGTACTACAGACATTTTTCACTGCATGAGAACCAGGGAGTAAAACTGACAAGCATATTTTCATTGTTCAACCTATCATCTATGCTTTTTCAACTTTAATAGAACTTTTTCTTAACACAAGGAAGCTTGGCTACCAATATTTTAAATATTGCATCCCTTAAAGGCAGAACTGTTGTTCTAATACCCAGTGACATTGCACAGAGTCCCGAACATTAAAATTAGAGTAGACTAAAAGCCACCACATGACTGACAACTTCTAGCAAAAAGACTCCTTTTAGATCAATTTGGAAAGCAGTTTAGTCTGACATATGCATTCTTCAGTACTTAGTGATGAGAATGAAATTCCCAAAGTTAAGACAGAGAAGTACATCTACTTTACAAATGCAACAATGTCAAGAGATCAATTTACCACATTGGTCCCTGACCTGATTATAGCACCTAGTGTAGATGAGACCTTAAATGTATCCTGCCCAAGGTTTTACAATGGTTATATGTCTCCAACAATATTTTATTTGGAACACTAAATAACATGGTAACGAATGGCAAATTTTCTTCAATGCATGTTCAAAAAACACAAACCACACACCACTATTAACATAGCTGACTTTTCCCCTCTAGCACACAACCCTGAACAATTACCTGAACAGTTATGCAACCACGATTATAGGAAACATCCACAGACCTTTTTAACTCCTAGGATATCTTCAATAAGCGTTGCTGTTTGCAGAAATGTTTTTTTGTTTGTCATCAATGTAAACAGGAACAACACAAAATCATTTCTTTCTGCCAATCGTTTAGTGACTCCTTCAGTCTAGAAGAAAGCAAGGAATGGTAAAATACACCCAACAATGGCAAGCGGCTGCACTGGCAAATCAGATGTGATAATCGTACGTAGCAAGCCAGTTTCACCAACACTCTCCTGGTTCCCTATTTGGCAATTCCTAGAAGTTGGTGACATGCTGTCCAGGGAGATGAACAATTCAGCTAATCCTCATGGGGCCTGCCGAAACTACAGGTCCCAGCATGAAAAACTCCATTTTGACTTGAATTGTTTGCCTGCTTGGAACAAGATTAAATGTTGCACAGCTGGACCCTGCGTTGCCTGTGGGCTTTAGCTCTCTATTGGACCTGATAGCAGTTGCCTTAATCACTATTTTAGGGAAATTAGATGTGGCCCTCAGTCTTTTGTCCAACTGCTAACATAGTTCTCAGTTGAACAGAGTTCTCTCAAAGTTTCCACTGACTTCAATGGGGCCAGGATTTCACCCTGATCACTGGTTGGAGTAAGGTTGCTCTTTGGTTTAATTCAGTATTTTTTATTCCAGAAAACATTACCCCAAATGCTCGAAAATCTGTCTGGTCAGAGTTCAGCAAGACTGACCATGTACTAGTGGCCGTAGCATAGAAACAAGACCTCAAGAGGTCATCAAGTCCAGGCCCTTATGCTGAGGCAAGGCCAAGTAAACCTCGACCATCCCTGACAGGTGTTTATACAAACTATTCTTAAAAACCCTTTATTAATATGGTATTGATCAAATGGATTAGATATCAGCATAGATATCATACCTAGATATAAAGAGAATTAATCCAGAACTGCACCAAGACATTAGACAGTCTTACAATCCTGAAGTAACCCTCCATTCAAATCCATCCCAATAATCCAGAGAGGGCGCTACAATTGAAATGAGTTAAGTCAGCCAGCAGCTATTCTATGGATTGCAAATGTGATCGTTTTTAGATTAAATGCAGCTATCACAAACTACCTCTATTTTTTCCCCCTTAGTAGATCAAATAATGAATGCTCAAACACCAGCCCTTGCCGCTTTTACAGGGTCTCTGTACTGTTTAGAGAGCACAGTGTACTAATACTTTTGTAATGTTAAGAGAAAGTCAGTTTCCCTAAAATGGCTCCAACTCAGTGATTACATGCAGCATTTCATTAAAACTACTGTATTTTAAACGTGCTCTCAGGCTTGTAATCATTTATCCACTAAAGGGTGATGACTAACTATACAATATTGAAAATACATTACTTATTGACAGTGTTTTAATAATTAGATATGCACTTTAGGCCTCAATTTTTGAGCCAAGTTCTCTATAGACTTCTAACCTGCAGCCCTTCCTTGGCACTCAGGCTCCAATGATTGACAAAGGATGTTCTGCATATGAATTGTCTGCAGGATCAGGCCCTTAAGACCCTTGGTTGACTAGGCTATTGAACGGTGCACAGGCAGAGATGCTCAAATTAAGATGTGGGCGTACATTTTTCTAATTTTGTTATTTCTGTTTCTAAGTACAAGAGCTGAAAATAGCTCTCAGATGGGAACATGAATATGTACAAATGCCCACAATAGTGTATCAGAATTACTGGGCACTCAGCTACTGCAGTGGTGCATTATAGAAAGCCCTATAAATAAAACACTACTTAGACAAACGCCCAAACACAGAGAGTGGCTGAATATAGTAGGTCCAGATATGTAACCAGACTTTGGAAAATGTGGCAAACTAGAGTTGCATTATGGCTTTAAATTATGTTTTAAAAGCAAATATGCTTTCATTCCTGGGGTATGTGCAGCCAATGCAGAAGCGTGGAACATGTTTGTTTGCCAAGAAGAGGAACATACATATTTTTAAAAAGGTAATACTTACACATATGCAAGTGTTGTACAATATGCTTAAGCAGTCCTTGATCAGGTCGTCACTTACTACAAAGCAAAAGTAAGACCAATTCATTAGTTTCCAGAACACTTAATTTCTATGCTATAATCAGAGCATTGTGTATGTCATTTTAAATATTCAATTAAACAGCCTGAAACGGATATGCAAAAAAATTAAGCTGCAATTAGCGACCAGTTAGAAATGATTAATGAGATACCCGACCACTATAGTCCAAGAGATTTAATGGCCTGAGGAAGTGTTATAGGGCATGCTAATTCTGACCTACGTCCAAAAAACATCAATTAACCACAACCAACCAACACAGTTCCCAGCGTAAACAAAACCTTTGACAGATTTTATCTTGTTATTTCACCTGTGAATCTCAGTTTCTTCACTTGAGAAGTGGGGAGGATATCATAATACTTCTCCTTCTCAGAGGTATTGCAAGGGCCAGATAGTGTCAGGTAGACATGGAAGATGAAAGATACAAATATTGAGCCTACTGAGCTGCTCCAGCAGACAAAATGCTATTCTGAAGCAACTTGTTAGTTCACTTTGGCACACTCCCTTTATTATATAGTTAGGAAATTACTATTCATTACATGTCTGGAAAAATGAGATTCTCTTCACTGACTCACTCAACAGGTCTGTACTCTAGGGACAACATTCTGGAGGGATTGAATAGGAGCTATATAGCCACCAATAACTTCAGTGGAAGTGTAACATTTGTTGACCTGCCAATGCCTGGAAACCAAATCTATGCACTGGAAAAAATATAGACACTAAGGGTACGTCTATACCCAGCCGCTAGTTCGGCGGCTGGCAATCGAACTTCTGGGTTCGACTTATCGCGTCTTGTCTGGACGCGATAAGTCGAACCCGGAAGTGCTTGCCGTCGACTGCGGTACTCCAGCTAGACGAGAGGAGTACCGCGGAGTCGACAGGGGAGCCTGCCTGCCGCGTGTGGACCGAGGTAAGATCGAACTAAGGTACTTCGAACTTCAGCTACGTTATTCACGTAGCTGAAGTTGCGTACCTTAGTTCGATTTGGGGGGTTAGTGTAGACCAAGCCTAACAAATTATGCCTTAAAACACATACTGACTATAATTCACCCCCTCAAATTAGCACCATAAAGAATGACTGACAGTTTTTCTATTTCAGGAATAGTGAATCATTTGTTTAGTAAAGTAAGGGTGAAAGATATAAATGGAGGAGGAAACAAGGAAAGATACTGAAAAACAGCTATTTAATCTTAAACTGTATCTACTTACTTTTCTGTTTCTTTTTCTGTGTAATAAGAGTTGGTCTCATAAGAATTTCCACTAGAAGCTGTGAAAATAAGAGAATGAACTGAAGTGTAGAGTCATTTTAACAGACTCAATCAAAAAGCCACCCAAGACCCATAGATTTTATCATCTCTAAATAGCAAGCCCCAAATCAGTTCCATTTCCTAAAGAACTATAGATAACAGTGTGAGTGAACCACTACAAACATGGCTGCCTCAATGTACCTCCTTTCTGGTTGCATGAAATATCACGTGGCCTGCTGTGAAGCTATTCATCTTGTTTTGGAGAAAGTCAGGCACTGCAAACACACTTGTAGCGCTGCACACATTCATACACATTGCATTTTCCAAGAACAAAATAGCAGAGATAGCACATGGCACTATGGGATCCCACTACTAATTGGCCCTTCGGAACAGAAGTTATAAACATATTAAATGAAGTATTTCAAACTTATCAAAGGGTTTTTTGAACCAAGTGCCCTTCTCCACCCCCAAACAAGATCCCTTTTAACAGCTATTCAAGGTCACAGATTGCAGGAATGCCTAGCCCACCAAATTTTAGCATCATTTCAATTCTACGGGCAATCACCCACAGCCATTGCCCTTACAACTGGAAGCAAAAAGAATTTTAGATAAAAAAAAGTTTTCCCTGACTGATTATGATAATTAGAGCAAGCTGATTCTCCTCCTTAACAGTGAACAAAGGTAACTAACAGGAGAGATTTGGAGGGAGTTTAGAGAAGGAGCATGAAAGGCTTTCCTTCCAGGTTCAGCACTTGAGATTTCAAACTGCTTAGTGATGCAACAGTGGTGGTGACCTGCTACACATATGTGCCATGTTCTCTTTCCTGCCTGAAGAGAAAAGGGATTTCCTGTGCATGAAGTTCAAGTTGGTGGCTGTGCTGGAGGAGAAAATTCTTGGATTGGAGCGGGAAGTAGGGATGTTACTGAGAAACAGAAAAGCTGAGTAGTTCCCTAGTCAACCAGTTTCACAAAACATCAGTTCTCCAGGTCCTGAAAGAATTTTTTTTTTGGGGGGGGGGGAAAAGTGTGTCATCAGAGCTGCTATTTCCCCTACTCTCCTAGCCGAGGTGATCACCACCAGGAAGGCCGTTTTCATTGACGGGTACGTAAGCGAACAGGTAGCCATGGGCTCGAAGCGAGGTCTAGTCAGGCTTTTCAATATTAGGTTTAGGTCCCATGTTGGGGTGGGATGTCAGGGTTGGGAGAAAAGATTTACTATACCCCCGAGGAATTGTTTTGTGGTAGGGTGTGATAGCAATGAGTATCCCTCTACTTGTTGGTGAAAGGCTGCTATAGCTGCTAGGTGAACCCTGAGTGAACTGAGAGAGAGAGAGAGAGAGAGAGAGAGAGATTCCCTAATTTTTTTAAGAGTCTGTACATAGCCTAGGAACTTTGGAAGAGTAGCAGATGTCGGAGAAATTTGTTGGGAATTACACCACGTCTGAAACCTGGACCACTTTTGCAGGCAGAATACAGAGTGTTGTGGATTTTTTACTGCATAGTAATACCTCTTGTACCTCATCTGAGCAGGAGCTTTCTATGCGTTGGAACCATGAAGGAGTCAAGCCTTGAGGTAGAGAATCCTCTAGTTGGAATGTAGAGTGCATTCTTTGTTTGGCGAGAGGAGGTATGGCGTGGACTGGAGAGAGGTCGGCAAGCACATTGCAAGTTGTGACAGGTAAGGGTACCAAGTCTGTCTCAGTCAAGTGAGGGCAATCAGTACAACATGTAGTCCTTCTAGTTTTAATAGGACTTTTGACAGATGGGGAAATGGAGGAAAGGCATAGAGAAGGTCCCTGTCTCACAGAAGAAGTGTTGCGCAGGGAGTGTTGCCCCATCCCTGCTTTGGAGCAATGTCGTGGACATTTCTTGTACAGGTAAGTGGTGAACAGGGTTGTGGTCTGTCTCTCTCCCATCTCCACCTCCCATCACCTGAATAGGTTGTGGCTTTATCTCCCATTCATGGTCGTGTGGAAACTTGCAACCGAGACTGTCCGCTATAGAGTTTTGCGTTCCTAGAAGGAAGGGTGCTGATAGTGTGCTGTGGGAAACGCACCAGTTCCATAACCTTAGTGCTTTTGCGCAGAGGGAGGGTGACCTGGCTCCTCCTTGTCAATATATGTAATACATACATACTATGTTGTCTGTTAAGACTCGTGTATTCCCTTGATCAGTGGGAGGAAATGGGTGCAGGTATTCCTGACCACCCTGAGCTTGAGGAGGTTGATGTAGGAGGATCTCTCCATAGACGACCATTTGCCTTGTGTTGTAAGGTTGTTTAGATGCACACCCCATCCTATAAGGAATGCATCGGTGGTGAGAAGTAACAACAGGGAAGTTTGCAGAGAGATCTCCTTTTTGCAAACATTTGCTGGGTTTTTCCACCAGTCCAGGGAGTTTTTGACTTTGGTGGACAGTGACGGGGGTTTGTCTAGTCTATTTGGTCTGTAAACGGAGCTGAACCAACTCTGAAGACACTGCACATGAAACCTGGCATGAGGTATCACCACTGTGCTGGCTGCCATATGTCCCAGGAGTTGGAGGCAGCATCTGGCTGATATCTGGGGGCTGTTTTCTACTGTCTATGAACGTGGCCAAGGTGCTGAGGCAGGAGCGTTTTGGCCTGTAATGAGTCAAGGTGGGCCCCTATGAATTCCAGGTGCTGTACCAGGGTGAGGGTTGATTTTTGGACACTGATCTTCAGACCCAGTTCCATGAACAAGTCTATTGCAGTCTTGGTAATCCAACAAGCCTAGTTGAAGAAGCGGGCTCGGAGGAAACAATCGTCCAGGTAGGAGTAGGTCATGATCTCCTGGGAGCGTAGGTGAGCAGCCACTACTGAGAGGACTTTGAAGAATACCGTTGGAGCTGATGATAGCCCAAAGGGAAGCACTCTGTACTGACAGTGGTCTTGTCTCAGGGTAAATCTGAGGAACAGCCTGGGGAACAGAAGGATTGAGATATGGAAATAGGTGCCCTGAAGGTTGAGGGCCGAAAAATCAGTCTCCCTGCTCCAATGCTGGAATAATTGTTGCTAGAGTGGCCATCTTGAATTTTTGAACTTTGACAAACTTGTTGCGTGCTCTGATGTCTAGTACGGGTCTCCAACCTTCCTTCTTCTTGGGTATTCTGAAATAGCAAGAGAAAAAAAATCTTTGCCTCATAGATGTGGAGATATTTGTTCTGTGGCTCCTAACAGGAGGAGAAGATCTATTTCTTGTTGTAGTAAACTCTCGTAAGAATGATCCCTAAAGATGGGCGGAGAAGGGTGTTGGGGACGGGGGTAGGTAAAGTGGATGGAGTACCCCCACTAAGAATTATTTCCAAGACCCATTGGTCCGATGTTATATGTTCCCAGGTGCTGTGGAATGTGGCAAGGTGGTAGTCAAATGGGTAGGAAGGTTGGTCAGCTGTAGTGGTTGAGGGGAAATGGTCTGTCGACACCTCAACCGACGTGTCAAAATTCATGTATGGAGGGGGATGGCTGTGACATGGAAGGCTGTGGGGGTTTACCATATAGTTTTTGCAAGGTCCCGGAGAACCTCATTGATGGGGAAGGCTATTCTGGAGGACCAGGAAAAGTGTAGGATGACAAGGAGTTTGTGGTGAGAGTGGCCTTGACTTCCTCCAGGTGAATCTGCAGCATATCTGCTACCTTTTTGCCAAGTCTTGGAAGAGATGGAAATCATTGGCTAAGGATGGTGGCGGACGCATGACTGCCTCATCCGGAGAGGAGGAAGATATTAGTTCTCAGTGTAACCTCTTCCTCAAATCTGTTCCTCCATAATCTCCTCTGTGATTCCGAGGTTCTGGATGCCGTAGCCAAGGGAGAACGTCTCAGGGGCTCACAGGTGAGGCTGGAAGCCTGAGACGTGTGGGGGCGATATACCACCCAGTAGGGCCACTCAGGTGATGGGAGAGTTTGGTGGTGGTGCCCATGGCTGGCCGTATCATGGTGGTGATGCAGTAGGCTGAGGGTATGCTTGAGGAGCCTCTTGATAAGGGGCATCATAGAGAGCATGGGAGGAGTGGTGGGAGATGACCTCTCTGGCTCACTGTCTGATTTGCCAGTATACAGTGGCAGGTGTGTGGCAGGGTACTGGAGAGGATTCCCACACTTGAAGACTCGGTACCAAAGTCCCAGTGCTGACAAGAGGAGACACTGGTATATCAGATACCCTGACGTCTTGAGTGCTGGAATTCCACTGGAATTGAGTGTGGACCAATCTGGTGCTGTTGGCAGTACGGAGGGAGTCAGGGATCTTGCCTGCACTGAACGCTCCAGTGTTTGCTTGCTTACTGATGACTGTGCTGAAGGTACAGTGCATACCAGCAGTGTCTTCTTACTGGTGTGCTCTCCCTGCCCCTGTCTTTGTCAATTGGTACCATTGGCTTGGTGCCTGTGCTCATCAGGTCTTTGAGTGAGTCTATGGCACCTCCCTCTCCAGACCCTCATGAGCTATGGGTACCAGGCTTGGATTGTCTTGGTGCCAACAGTACCAAGCTTGCCAGAGATCTTTTGCAGCTAGCTCACGGCTCACTCTGGAGACTCACTGCTCTCTTTTTTAGATATCTTACAAGAGGGGATTTCTTCGACCCATAGTCCCTGGATGTTGAGGCCTATGGGGAAGGCTCATGCCTTCTGGGTGACTCTTGGCATGGACTCAGGGAAGGTTGGCAGGCTGCCTTCATCAGGATGATCTTCTGTCTCAACTCCCTATCCTTTTGAGACCTTGGTTTATTAAGCCGTTGACAGAGACAACACTTCTGCAGAATGTGATCTTCCCACGAGGCAGCATATGCAGCAAGAGTGTTTCTCTGCCACAGGGATGGCCTCCTCGCAAGAAAGGCACTTCTTGAAGCCTGGTGAGCTTGGCAAACCCTGTTAGAAAAAGGGGTCCCCAATAAACAAGGGGGGGAATAAAGGGTTTTTCTGTTTTCAAAGAGAAAATAAAGAGAAAAAACAACAATTAAGACTGAAGGAGACTAACTACTAAAAATGCTAAAGAAGTTAACAATCATGAACAAACTGCTAATGGCTCTGTCCCTAGCCAGGGGCAACTGAGAAGGAATTGAGGGGGTTAGCTCCCACATGCTGGTTAGCCTTGTGGGGGGGCGCAAGGAGGACAGTGCACGTGCAGGTCTAATGGAGAACTTTAGTAGTAGTGTCCGATCAGTTGCATAGGGACACAAGCACACCTACAGTAGAGTATCCATAGAGACACTGTTCAAAGAACTTCTGGCCTCAATCCTCAATTCTGCCCCCACCTCCCTACCACACAGCACAGAGATCCTTGGACAGAAGACACTCAAGGAGTACCCAATATCATTTGATTAGTTTGGAGTTTGGCAGAACTTAAGCATACAAAGTATTGTTAGCATTTTCTTTTTTAAAGACAGTGATATTTGCTTCTTTTCACGTTACGTAAGTCATGTACGTAATCAAAAAGCGATTTCTTTAACTTAGTCTGATATTTGTTTATCATTTCCAAGAATTTAGCTATTTTCTTAAACCCCACGGAAATATCAGGCAGCAATGTAAAAGAATATCATCTTTGTTATGTGCCCAAGAGACTGAACAGAAACTCACCAATCTTTTTATACCACATGGAAAAGAAAGTCCCTTGCTTTTGAACATGTAATATCTTGGAAAGTACTTGCAAAACAAACTGAAAGCAGATGTAATCTTGTGGCGATTCTCTTCTGAAATCTCTTATGACAGTACAACCAAAGCATCTAATCATACGTGATTTGCATTTATAGTCTCTCCAAATTGTTTGATTTAAAGACACTTCTCCCGTTTACTCTCGCTAAAAGCCTCAGGAGGTTTGACTATAGCCATGTTTAACAAAAACCCCGAACACTTACATCTACTCCTCCAAACAAATCAAACGTGTATGTGTTTGGGAAAGTGGATTCTTGAGCAGCTTTTCTATCCTCTGTGACAAATGCCATGGCCTCCATTGACAGAAGTGGAGAAATTTCCTGAGAAGAGAGGGAAAAAAACCCACCACATTCAGTCAACACGTTAGCAATGTACAATTTCTGTAACTGCCCTAGAATAACTGGATGATCAACTGATCCCTAATCGTGATTACATGCATTTTTACTCCACTTCACAGATGGGCATTACTCCATATGCCCAATTTCAAGGACTGAAGCTACAACTGCATGAAGTCAAGTTTCTTAACATGCAACAGTTGAAGAGACTAGCTTCCAAGAAACAGGGTGGTATTTCAATAGAGTCAGTGACTGAGTATATATTACCTTGAGGATGCTTTGGCACTGAGAGAGGTCGCTGTTCGGATGGCTGTTCTCATACAGTTTCTGCAACAGCAGGGGAATTCCATTCCATTTTGCTTGTTTATCCCTTTCCTTTAACAAGGCTTCTGTGATCTATGACAAGGGAGAATACCATTGGCTTTCGGACTAACATTTGCTTATCCCTTCCCCATACTACATGCCACCATCAAGTGACCTCATGACTCACCATCGTTATGCTCCCAATTTGGCGAGCTCTCGCTTATTTTACTCCATGTTAAACCACTGAACGTTTCTATACAACACAAAGGAATAATTGAAGGGGTTCTCTAATTTTAACATAAGTGAGGCATAAAAAGGAGAAAAAAAGAAGCTATATTTGGGTACCAAGTAAGATTAGTTCGGCACAAACAGAGTGAGAACACGTCCATATCAGAATACGCAATAGCAGAGATCAGCATTTCACCCTTGAAACCACTGGTCCAGGACCAGCATCTGAATAATCTTACTGGTCCTGAAAGGGTTCATACTGGTTTGCCAAGGTGTTGTAGGCATTACAGGATGAGAGATCTTTGAGCATGGGTGTTCCTTAGTATATTAAATATTTCTTTCCACACTTATGATATTGTCTATAAAAATCTCAATAGTTCCATTAAATTTAGTAAGTTCATATTTCTCCCTGTGACATTAGTAAAGCTTTGAGTCATATGTTGCTGCTGCCAGCATCATAAGCAGCTCTTGTTTTCTTTTTGCTGGTTATGGCAGGAGAGACCACACTCAATAACAAAAGGCTGGATAGTGTTGATTGGTACCAACCTTGTCAACTATCCATTGCAGGAAAGCCTAAAGAGCATTGTAATCTGCTGCACTTGAGTCAATGTACACTACTGTCTAGCAGTTAGTCCAAAATAGAAAAGTGCTGTCAAAAATTAAATCTTATTTAAAGACCTTAATCCCAGTGAACCAGAAATGGAAGGGGTTGGGGGGAGAATTGGAGATAGACTTTCAAGATCAAGGAGATATTAAAAGAAAGGGTTATGAAGATTCTGAATGCAGTTTGATGCAGATTCCAGTAGGGATGCATAGCAGCAGAGAAAATACAGATCTTTCCCAGAGTGGACTACTTCTTGAGTGGATGGAGGGGGGAGGGGAAGTCCTTGGCAGGCTGTGAGGGTTTGATAACAGGGGCAGTGCCCCAAAATTAGACATACCAGGAAAACACCAAAGATCTCCCAATTTAAAGTACAGAGATAGAGGAATTTCAACAGTGTTTAGGTATCTCACAAACTAGAACCTGAAGAGAGAGTGTGGAGGGTGTGCGTGTGTGTGGGGAGGGAATGGATGCTGAAAAGCATATATAAACTGCACCAAATACTCCTGCAGCAAGGGCACAGATTTATACTCACTGTGCGAAACCTTCTACAGATTCTTATTTCTATGTCTCTCAATTCCAGGAGGAGTATACACCACAACACAGAGCACTTGCTGGAGAGTCTGAGATGGAAAGAACCTTTATTCAACTCAATACTAACCAGCTGTTTGTTTTTAAGAGAGTTTCCTGAGCCCTCCCGCTATTACCAAGAAAGAACTAGTCACAAAAGAGAGTAGGAAGCAAAGCTTCCTAGAACCTGGAAGTGGAGGACTCAGTATCATCCACCGCAATGTGGTCTGTGGATTACACCATGCAAATCTAAATTACTGTATTGAGCACTTCCATACCACAATGATGGGCACTAAAATTTGTACATACAAAAAACTACATTCAAATCTACCATAAAAAGAACATTACAGTTGCTAATTCAAGCACTGAAGTTAGGAAATGCCAGAATTAAGGTTTCCCAAGCAATCTTAATTTGGCTCAATTTAACTTGTGTGTATGCATTATGGTACACTCTAATTACAGGATCATATTCTATTTTTCCCCCACAGCACCTGTCTCATTAAATTCACAAGAAGCTTCCAACCTGGTAACGCTTATGCATATGCTCAACTTTGCTACCATGAGTACTCCCACTGACCTGGGCATGTTGTGATAACTGGGTCTAAAAATTTGCCCTAATTGTGAGCTCAGCCGTGAGGAGTGTACATTCATAAAATGTCATAACCGCCTATAACAAATGTTGAAGGGAAAAAGTGCAAAAGTGGGACAGAAAAACTGAATTAGTCCAAACAAAAAAGGCCTACATATCTAACTCAAGGACTGTATTATGGCAAACAAGAGAAGTGTAGAAACAGAAATCAGTAAACCAAAGTTGGTGCTTCAGAAATTAGGCCTAATTGGTGGACACCATAGTAAGGGGAATGGGCTATTACACCCATTACTCCCTTTAAGGACCCAAAAGAAAGACTTTGGGGGGGGGGGGGGGAATTGGCTACGGGGGGGGGG